TGATGATGATGATGATGATGATGATGATGATGATGATGATGATGATGATGATGGTGGTGGTGTTGATGATGATAATGATGATGATGATGATGATGATGATGATGATGATGATGATGATGATGATGGTGGTGGTGGTGGTGTTGATGGTAATGATGAGGATGATGATGAGTATGATGATGATGATGACGCGGATGATAAATATTCCTGATGAAGCCATACGGCGAAACCTTGAACGTATTAAATAATATATTTTGTAAATCGTACTAAATCTCAACCTTTTTTATGATCACATTACAATGATGATGATGATGATGATGATGGTGATAATAATACAATTTAAAAAAGAAAAATTTAAATAATTTAAATTAATATTTTTTTACCTGCAAACCAATTAAAACTCTCCCTACCTACTCTGCTTTTTAAACAATGATGATGCTGATGATGATGATAATGATGATGGTGATGATGATGATGATGATGATGAGTTCTTCATAGTAAGCTATTTGTTTGTCGAGTGACCGACCGACCGACTAGGGGGTGCCCATTGGCACGATCGATTCGGTTCTGTTCGGTTTGGTATAGCCAGATTGAGGGCGCAAAACGACCATCGTGGCACAAACCGATCGCCCGACTTGCAGCCTAAAAAACAAACGATTGGTTGGCGATCGGTTTGCCGATCCTCCAATGGGCAGTGGGTATAAGCGACCGACCAACCAAACGACCGACCGACCGTCCGACCGTCCGACCGATGACAAATCAACCAACCGACCAATCAATAAATCAGTTAATCGGTCTATCAATCAAACAATCTGTGCATGTAAGCTACCACCCTTGTGCACTCAAACACAACCAAATTATCATTTCTCTTCAACTTCAACACAACGCGAATATTATTCCTCTCCAACTCAAGCACCAAAAACATCACTTCTCTTTATCTCCTACACAACACAAATATTGCTACCCTTCGATTTAAACCCAACGCGGATTTGATATTTACACAACAATTATTTTAAGAATATTTTATTATTTCAGTTCATACACAACCAAAACATGATTTCTCTCCAACTCAACCACGAGCAGAAGTTCATCTCCTCAACTCATTCACAACTAGAATATTAATCTGCATGTTGTGTATATAATCTCTTCAACACCAACATAACTACACTATTGTCTAGGTTCAACTAATACACATCCAGAATATTACAAACTAATATGTTATTATTAATAATATAATAATAATAATAATAATAATAAAAATAATAATAACAAAATTAATAGTATTTGTATAGCGGATATCCCCGCTCAACAACAAGCTCTATGCGCTTTACACACTACATTCTTTACCTCAGGGGACCATAGAACACTCAGAAACATTCTCAGCTTCCCGGGAAGCATACCGTGCAAACAGCGCTCAAACACTAACAACTAACTCGATCTTTCACTGTCTATAGCTGGTTACCCATTCCCACCTAGGTGAAGGGAGGGAAATTCATGTAAAGGGTCTTTACTTCTCTCCAACTTAATCACAACCAAGATTTTTTTTGTGTGTGTAACAGCATCGGCAGGGAACACAAGACAACAAAATAAAGAAACATTAAATCCACTAATACAGAAGGCATGCAAAATTTCAACATTTACATTCCCCTACTAGGATGAATTGTACATAATAGCTTGCACTTCAAAAATTAATTCCATCTTTTTAGTCATCAAACATCCCTTGTTACCTCAAATAAAAATATCAGTCAGAAGTAAAAAACCTAGCCTTCTAATCTGTAACAAAGAAAGATACAGAAGATCAGTTTTACCATCATCCATCAAAATTCTTCCATCTTAACCATCTTGTATAAGTATCCATACGACCTTAGAGCACGCATCATAATAACATTGACTACAATGTATCTAGCTTAAGATTATTATTGTTTATATTGCAGCTCATTTATACTATGCATGTGATTGCAAGCCTGCGTGTGTGTGTGTGTGTGTGTGTGTGTGTGTGTGTGTGTGTGTGTGTGTGTGTGTGTGTGCGTGCGTGTGTGTGTGTGTGTGTGTGTGTGTACACGTGGTGAAACATCCAACTAATGTGCCAGGATCTGGACTATAAAGATGTATCTTATCTTATCTTATAATTCATCTCATCTGACGCTGGCCCTTGCCCCGTGCATATTCCTCCCACAGACATAGACGAGTGTGACCGCGGAACTCACAAGTGTGGCCCGGAGCAGCAGTGCATCAACAGACAGGGAACTTACTTCTGCCAGTGTCCCAGGGGCATGAGGCATGACAACACGGGCAGCTGCGTCGGTCAGTTGTTGCGATGATGATGATGATGATGGTGATGATGATGATGATGATGATGATGATGATGATGATGATGATGATGATGATGATGATGATGATGATGATG